ACCTTCACGACTGGCTCCTTCATTTCATCTCTAATTTCACGGTTGAGCCCCTCTCTTCTAGGCTGTGACAGGATGAAAATTTTCGTGGCCAAGATCAAGACGTCGGCAGGTTTGAGGTCTCCTGGGGCCTCCCTCCTCGGCTTGCAGATGGCTGCCTTCCTGCTGTGTCCTCTGTGGCCTTTCCTCTGTGCACATGCATCCCTGCTGTCCTTGGGTCCTTCTCTGGGCCCCAATTTTCTCTTCCTAGAAAGACACTGGTCTTTATTAACTTAAAGGCCTTATCTTATTGGCCTCATTAACTTAGTTGCCTTTTTATTTATTTATTTATTTATTTTTAATTTTTTTTTTAATGTTCATTTATTTTTGAGAGAGAGAAAGACAGAGCATGAGCAGGGGAGGGTCACAGAGAGAGACACACACACAGAATCCGAAGCAGGCTCCAGGCTCTGATCTGTCAGCAGAGAGCCCAACGCGGGGCTCGAACCCACGAACTGTGAGATCATGACCTGAGCCGAAGTCGGACGCTTAACCGACTGAGCCACCCAGGTGCCCGTTAATTGCCTTTTTAAAAGACGCTATTTCCAAATACTGTCACATTGGGGGGTACCAAAGGTTAGGGCTTCCACATATGAGTTTAGGGGGACACAACTCAGCCCATAATACTGACTCGTGAGGTTTGTGGGCCTATGGGGCATTGTGCCCTTTCTCAAACCTTGTACCCTTTCTCAAATATCGGAATCAAATTGGACAATGCACAATTGGTTTTTGTGCGTTATAAGCTTGATACGACGGTAGCTGTTGAAAATGCATTTTCAAGGAGATATGACATCATCAAAAGGAAAGGAGCATAATGTTGAGACCGTGAACTACCTCAGGCTAATACCTTGGAGTCCAATAGATGTCAAATATCACTGTGTTTCCTTTGAAATTTTAAGCTATCCTGAGATGCCCCTCTGACTGCTCTGGCACCCCAGGGTAACTTGGTACCCAGTTTGAGAACTCTTACCCATCCATCAAGTGGAGCCCGCTCGAGATTCTCTCTCTCTCCTTCTCACATTCTCTCTCCCTCTCTCTCTCTCTATGTCCATCTGTCTCTCAAAATAAATAAATAAGCTTTAAAAAAAATTTTTTTTTAAAGACTAAAACTAGGCTTAACTGCCTCTCTTTCTCAAAATGAATAGAGAAGCTTAAAAAAAAATACTAAAATTAGGCCTATCTGCCTCCAAAGCTCGCTGTATCGCTGGGGCAGGTAGAGTTGATTAGCATGAGCCTCCTTTCGATGTGCCATACTTCCCTGCACTACGGAAAGCTAAATGAAAAACCACTCTTCGCAGAGTCCTTTGAGGCAACAGTTCAGGATGCAAATTAGGACTTGGAGATTTTAGGGGGGGAGTAAGACAGTGGTCATCATCATGCCTGAGACTTGGGCATTTTCTTCTAGAGTGTCATTGCAGCAACTTGTCTTTCGGCTCTACTGTCAAGATAGTTAAAGCCCTGAGCAGACTCAGTGTCGCTTTGCCCAATTACCACATTCGTAGAGGTCAAGGTGGTGACAGCACCGGGAGCTTCCTTGGATAGTAGCCCCTGAGGTATGCTCTTGAACTCAGTAGTTTCAGTAGCTCTCCCCAAATTCCTCACTTTCCAACCGCCCAGAAACAGCAGGTCTGGGGTGTGGGGAGGAAGTGTGATTCTTGTAATGCTCGGGGGCATTCCTAGATATACAGCTACTGTCCACACTTCCAGCCCTTTTAGCACTTTGGAAAGCCCTGAATTCCCTGCTAAAAGATCTTTAAAAATCCTTGAGTGATATATGTTTCCTACGCATATGTCTGAGTGATATCATTATATTGCACACACGTTAATAACCTATGAGAGAAAAGCCACTACGTTTGTATTAAAGAAATAGCATAAGACAGCATTCCAGCCATCATGGCCTGTGTGCGTAAAAGGCTGAGAAAGGAAGAAATTTATGAAGGCCTCAAAAAGATAGGATATTAAATTCTACGGAAAGCCTAGCGGCTACAAAAGAACACTGCTGGGAAACTAATGGGCTACTTCCCACTTAATGCTTTTAGGATTCATTAAACAGTTTAAATAGATGGTTTCAAAAATAAACTTTGCCATATTCACACCAGAAGTTGTTTGAGTTTTTTTTTTTTTGGGGGGGGGGGATAGATACATAGATACACACACCAGATACACACACACACGCACACATATAGACGTACATACACCTAGATGGTGGACTAGGTAATTGAAACTTATGTTACTAGGAAAGAGAGGTTCTGTTTCAACACAAATAAGATAGGTTAATAAATCAAACTTGGCTGAGAATCCAAACAACACCTTCCTCCCGATAATCCTAAAGTTAGAGAAATCCCCAAGGTCCTGTATGGTCCTGAATGTGGGGAGTTATCTTTCCTAAGAGACTATTCCCAACAAAACAAACCGGGTTGTGCTTTCATGATTGTTCCCACCAAAGAATGGGGCAGCCTCTCTTTACTATCCAGTCTTGGTGTCATTCAGATCCAAGTGTGCCTTGTAAATCAGAGAAAGGCAGCAGAGACGTGTCTGCCCTGGGTCAGGGGTATCAGTCAGGGCCTTGGCAGGAAAAGGAGAATCACACTCAAAGGGGTAATTGAAGAGGGTTTAATGAAAGGCCTATTTAGAGTTCAGGTCAGGGTTAAGGGAACCAGTGTGGGTTGGCGAACGTCTCGGGGACTGCAATCGTAATTTGCTCTAGCTTCTCCCGGGCATACCCTCTCTCCCTGCCCATCCAGAGCTAGAGGCCATCGCCCCCTCTAAGTTCTGAAAGGAGGGGGGAGGGGGCTGCTATTGGGACATGGAGAGAGATTTAGTCACAGGAGAGGGTCGGCGTGGCAGGTGCTGTTGCCATAGGAAGAGAAGAGCAGTTACTGATAAAGGAGTAGGGCGGTTGAGCTGGCAAAGACAGGTAAGAACAAATGTCCCCAGAGCCCATCCTACATGGGGAAAGTTTCAGATTTCGCAGTAAACAAACAAACAAACAAAACTGGACTCAATAGGACATCTTGCTCAAATGCTCCTGGGCATGTTACTTAAATATCCCAAAATTATCTTCTCAGATGAAAATAGGAAGCTTAATACCAAGCGTATCACAGGATCGAAGGGAAGAATGTATCTAAGGGTGATGTGAAAACTGTAAAACACCAATAAAATGCTACTTATTTTTAGCATCACCATCATCTTCGGAGACAGTCACCGATTTCAAAAGAATATCTGAATAAGCCATCTTAGCACAAAGTTATGATTTCCCTTCATTACGGAATATTCCGTAGCTTGGTCACTGTTGGCCAATACTTCAATTTCAGGGATAAGTGGAACTAAACAACTAAACCCGATGAGGAGGATGTCTTCAAAGGATAAATAGAATACTTTACCATTAAAAGAACTTAAGGAAATAAAAGCGACCAGGCTTTTTAGTTTTTGCTTTGAGTAACTCTGTAGGGAAACTTGGAGAGATGTTTAATCAGTGGGTCCTTAAATCTACAGCATTGGCAAACCGGCCACCACTCTCACCTCAGGCACCTGTGGCAGACATGGCCAAGCCCAGAGATAACATGAGAGCTCAGAGAAAGTGTTAGAAACTTCCACAACATCGCATGCCAGGCAGCCCCTCATAAGGAACTGGTTGGAGGTAAGCACATAACATACATCACATTCATTATCACTGAACATCCAACTGGTCAGCAGTGTGTTGAAACTAACTGAACTCCTGGGTACCAGTTTGTACCTCACAATGTGCAAAGGATTCCAACAAATTAGAGAAATCCCAGAAAAGAGCAGTCAGTCTAGTTGAAGAACAGGAATGTTTTCCTGAAAATGAGATTAGAAAAGCCTAGAGTAAACTCTTCATTTATCTGCAAGGCTTGTACTAAAGAGGGGCAGCTAGGTTCACTATGGCTCCCAGGAATGACCTAGCACCAATGGGGAGAAGCATCTGAGGCGGGGGGCGTCTATCAGGTGTTCAGCATTCAGAGCTAACCAATAGTGGTGTGGCTTTTTTTTCTTTTTTGAGAGAAAAAGAGAGAGAGAGATTGAGAGAGAAAGCATGAGTGGGGGAGGGCAGAGAAAGGGAGAGAGAGAGAAGAATCTTAAGCAGGCTCCACACCAACAGCATAGAGCCTGACATGGAGCTCAAACCCATGAACTGTGAGATCATGACCTGAGACAAAATCAAGAGTGGGACACTTAACCAACTGAGCCACCCAGGCGCCCCAAAGGTTCGTCAATGGTGTGACTTTGAAGTTCCATTGAACCTGGTTGAACCTGTATCAGGGTGTTTTGAAATAAAATAATTCCTGATTTAGGAGAGCGGGTAGGCTAGAGGACTACTAATATCCATTCCAGGTGTAAATTTCCAAAGTTCTAGGCGTTTCTGGGTGTTCAGTGGTGCACACCAGCTCTCAGAGGGCAGCTTAAAGGAAAGCCATAATCGTTCACTTGGGAATCCTCCAATGGGTACAGCATTGGCAAAATCCCATACAATCCATTTGCCAGCTTTATTTTATAATGTGTCAGTCAGAACTCCCCTAGCCAATATTTTGTGCCCCCAAAAGGAGAGCTCATGATGCAGTAAATTATTGATGATGCTGCCAAAAAGGAATTTCACTCTCGGATCAAATTTGGATTAAACGTAGTAAATCCACGGCGTTAGTTTTTAATAACCAAAAAGTTCTGTCGATGTGCTCGAAGAGAATAAAATTCCCCTTTTAAAGGTCTGTTTGATGTAACACTTGAAAGTTGAGATGCAATCAATCATTAACAATGTTTAATATTCTCTACCTTCTAGAAATACAATACAGTCAAGGTGCTGAGGTGTGAAAACTGGCCAAAGTTCAAATCTCGTATTAGATGAAACCACTTTTGAAGTATCATTTTCTTACCCACATTCAGTTTAGCTATTTCTTCACTATATCACCTCTATTCATCACTACTTATTTAAATGAAACGACTTTTACCTGATACTTGGGTCTCCAGGCACATGTCAGGGGAAAGAGGGCACGGTGTAATATAGACCCGGAAAGCAGAGATTAGAGCTTCCAATTTCTGTATAAAATGAGCCAGCAACAAAATGGGATCTAGATATCTCCATATGGAAGGAATAGGTATTTATTTAAGTATGAATAAGCAAATTTCTCCAGTGCTGCCACCTTTTTTGGGGATAAGCTTGAGGATATGGATTCTGTCTTATTTATCTGTTTCCTCAACTAACACAGGGCTCAGCACATAATGGGGATAATAGATAGGCAGTGAATTGAAGAAAATATACACTACCAAGTCCTCCCTTCTCTGTGATCCTCAGAGGATTCAACATGGGAACTGTCTTGTTTGGTTTTTTTCTTTCTTATGTGTCTGTCTCCCGTGCTAACCGGTGAGGTCTTTGATGGCCTCTTATGTCACTGATTCCCAGTGTCTAATTCAGTGCCTGCTGGGCATTTCTTTGATACTTGTTGAATCTGAAGCTTTGCTCAGTGAGATCACACCCATATACTCAAGTAGGCTTTACTGAAGGACAGAACTGGACGGTAAAGAACAATGGCTTTCAGAGTCCTAAATTGGCCACTTACTAACCATAGAAACTAGGGAAATATACTTATCCTCATCGATAAAAGAGGAAGGATAGTAATTTAAATTTACGGTGCTTGCCACTTACAAAGTACTTTCATCTATCTATCTATCTATAGATAGATATCTATATAGATATATATGAATTCTACTAAGGGTTTATCTTCCCAGTCGTACCCAGCGGTACTCTAGGTGAGACAATCGCGTAACAAGAACAATTAGGAGGGCTATACAATTGCAAATATCATTTAACCTTTTATGCTCCATCCTGAATCCCACATACTTGCCAGCACACCTCTTCCTGCAGATGTGGAAACAGCTGTGGGCCACTTTCCTTCCAGAGTAGAAATGATGCCAGACTTTGCCTTCCCTTCCCATCACCCTTTGTGGATCTCCTCTCTCACTAGTGGTCATTTTTATCTGTCCTGTCTGCCCGCACACCCTAGTCCCATTTCCTTGCTGTGGCCCATTGGCTCAGTGATGGAATTTCAGACTACTCAAAATGGGCTAGGAATGTAGCCTCTCATGCTTATTCATGGACTCCTAACAGAAATTATTAGCAAAGCGTGCCTCTTTGAGCTTCTGGGACATTGAGATTTCAACAGAAGCACCTTCAGGTGGGCATGATTGCTCCATTCTTCCAGTGGGGAAACTGAGGCTTGGGACAGGAAATACCTTGTTCAAAGCCACAGAGCTAGAATTGGCAGATTCAGAATTGGATCCAGGCCCTGTGCCATTTCCCAAGTACATGCTTCTCGCTTATATTGTGAACTGTTATTTTGTTCTATACACTTAGGATTTCAGTAGTAAAAACAATGCATCCTATGAGGTGTGGTGGTAACGATTCCTTCTGTACTACTCTCTCATTCCTAAACCTTCCAGGATGAAGTGAACTCTGATTTCTCAGAAAGAACACAGCAGAAATTATCTCCCTACACTATGGAGGCATCGTGACATATAAAGAGAGAAAAGGCTTAAGAGGCAGACCAGACAAATCATGGCATACTAGCTTGATGACCTTGAGCAAGTTATTCACTCCCTGGAGGCATTTTCTGCTGTAGAAAATGAGAATAATATGTCTTCTTTCTCTGGGTGGTAAGGAATGAAAACCATATTTTAAACACCTCAGCAAATCGACAAATTTAACTCACCATCTTTTCTGTTTCTTAAATGACGATCACCTTCTGTTGCCAATAAAGAATATTTTTAAAGAAAGAATTGATTCTGCCCAGAAAACTCTAAATCTTTCAATTATAGGGTTCCAAAGAAGACTGGATTCTGCTCTGTTTGGGGGTTAACACCTTCATATAAAATGGCCTTTATGGAGAAGAGTTGAGATCGAACCAAAGACCAATCTAACTCCTTTCTGTGGATTCATTATTTAAGGAAGAGTAAAAAACCCACTAGCTACCAGAGCCCCGAGTAGAAGCATCATTTCAAAAGCTAAACCATCTTACCACTTAAGAGCAATACAATTGTAACCTCAGAGTTATTCAACCTCAGATGGAGAGAAATGACATAGAAATATGAGTTCCATAAGTGAGGAGCCCCAAGCCAGCTTGCAGTGTTTTCCAAGAATTTCTTTATGAAAGCCACGGAAAATATATTGCACAGCTATTTTGGCCTTAACAGTGTGTGTGGCAGAATACCTCACAAAGTCTTCTGATTAGCTTTTACTGCTAGGTTATTGTAAGATCTGTGTTTTATAAATTTTTCATAGTCAATTAGACTCCGAAGGACCCTTAGACATGATCTCAGGCGATATCCCACTCAGTGCAAACGCTTCATTCTCAGCCTCCACAGGCTGAATGTTTTACCCCTGCTCGAGGGGAGGGGTGGGGTGGGGAGGGAAAAGAATGCCAAGAGATAGATCTGGGACAGCCTAGCTCACAGGGAATGACTACTAATATCAAACAAGTTTACAGGAGGACTCTTTATTCATCTAAATGTTAGTTTCTCTAAGAAGACTAGCACTGAATTTAGCTGCAACATTGTTCCTGTTATGCTCCTTTTTAAGTTCTTTCTCCTCGGCTTCTCTGCCAGTCGGTGTCCTTGGACAGGACGTCACCCTGTCCCCTCATCTCTCGTTCTTCGTTATAAGCTATCCATATTCATTGCTTCAGCCTCCAGCTCTCTGCTGGTGATTTTCAATTTGTTTTTAAAGTTTATTCATTTTTGAGAGAGAGAGACAGAGCGTGAGTAGGGGAGGGGCAGAGAGAGAGACAGAGACAGAGAGACAATCCAAAGCAGGGTCCAGGCTCCGAGCCGTCAGCACAGAGCCCGACGCGGGGCTCGGACCCACAAACTGCAAGATCATGAACTGAGCTGAAGTCGGACACTTAACCGACTGAGCCACCCAGGCGCCCCTCTCTGCTGGTGATTTTTAAACCTGCAATTCAGAACTCTCTTGGGGGCCAGATGTCATAGATCCAACTGATTTTTGAACATCTCTACCTGATACCGAACAGAAAACTTCAAAAATGAGGCCAAAACTGAACTCCTCGATTTACCCCAAACTCTTGACAATTAGTCCAATAAAAATGTAATAAACCACTAATATTTACTTCCAGCTTTTTTTTTTTTTTAACATACCTAAGTTTGGGGTCAAAGTAGAGATTTAAGCTGTGATTAAAGAGAATAAGAATTCTCAAAACATATCTGTCATACACTCAGAAACTGAATAATTTACAGCAATATTCTTTTCTTTTCTTTTTTTCTTTTCTTTTTTCTTACACAGAAGATTGGAAGTATAACTTCTGTGCAAGTGGCCTCCTTTTTCAGAACGTAATGGGATAGCAAGGAACATATTTACTGTCCTTCCTCAAACAACCTGAAATCCAGGAAAAAAATAAATGTGAAAAATGGTTCTGTGACATTGGACAACAGGCGGCACAAGACTGAGAGGAAGGAAGCAAACAAACCTGTGCGAGTTCAGGTTTCCCCACCTGCTGAGGCACAGGTGGGGGAAGTTCAAATAGGTCAGAACCTGGCAAGCGAAGGTAGCTGGAAGTTGAGGGACACAGCGCCCGCGTGGAGGGAAGTACACACAGAGTGCTCCAGTGACCTGCAGAGAGGTCCTTGGAATTCTTGGCTGAGCACCATTCTATGCATGCATGAAAGGAAATTACCCGAAGCCAGGAAAGAACCGTACAGAGGGCTGAAATAGTGTGTGCGCCAGTCACCCAGAATGGAAAGACAGTGTCATTGTGAGGGCACCAGGTCAAGTTCTGAAAAGGGTATCGCCACCGCAGTGGGGCCGAACTAGCTCCACACGTACATCTACTCCGGACACACCTTAACAAAGCTTAAAAAGCAAACATGGAAAGGAATCTGTTGTTCTAAATAACTGCATGTCAGAACAAAATCCAACACCATATAAAGGAACATAACAAAACTCCGCACCTAACAATGCGAAATCACAATGTCTAGCATCCGGTATAATATTAACAGGTATTCAAAGGATCAGCATAAGAGAGACCACAATCAGGAGGAAATTAATCGATAGAAATAGACCCTTAAATGAAAGAGATAATAAAACTAGCAGACAAGAATGTTAAAACAGATGTTCCATATATTCAAGAAGACAGCAAACACATAAATAGGATGATAAGAAAAAAAAAATACAAGATATAAAAGTAAGACCCAGATGGAATTTCTAGAAATAAAAACACGATGTCCAAAACCTTTTTAAAAAAAGATTATACCCAGGGGCACCTAGGTGGCTCATTTGATTAAGCATCCGACTTTGGCTCAGGTCATGATCTCACAGATTGTGAGTTCGAGCACTGGTGGTGCGGAGCCTGCTTGTAATTCTCTCTCTCCTCTGTCTGTCCCTTCTCCACTTGCTCTCTCTGTCTCTCTCAAAATAAATAAATAAACTTTCAAAAATGGATTATATACTGAAGAAGAAAAATTAATGTGAAGCTCTACCCATTAAAATTGCCCAAAATGAAACACAAAGAGATAAAGAAATGAACTGAGTGTCGAGACAGAACAAAGAAAATAACCTTCAAAATGAAGGATAGTGTCCGAAAAATTCAGCCCAACAAAGCAGTGTAAAATTCATTTCCAGCAGATCTGCACTGTAAGATATGTTGAAAAGAAATTCTTGAGGCAGAAGGAAAATATTACCAGATGGAGATTTAGATCAAAATAAAAAAGTGAGCCCCAGAAATGATAAATATATGACCTTTTTTCCTCATTGTTAATATCTTGTAAACAATTAACTTTATAAAAACAAACAAACAAAAGGCACTAAATTGTGGGGTTTAGAGCACACGTAGAGTAAAATGTATGACCAGAATAGCCCAAAGTATTGGAAGGGGAAATTGAAGTATTTTGCTATAAGGTTCTTTCAGAGCACAGAGTGACATAATAATTTGAAGGTGAACTATAGTAAGTTAGAGAAGAATTCATCAAGAAGAAGTATCAATCCAAAAAAAAAAAATGTATGCATGTAACAACAGAGCTTCAAAATATAT